TAGATCGCCATGAAATATCGTTTCAGTGCCCATTTTGCCACAACAACAACGGCAACGATGACGACAACGGCAGCAGGGGCATCCAACATAAAATAATGTCAAATCAAATACATTGAACAGTTTGTGGCAAAATACAATGTTTTTCTTACCTGAGTTTAGACGCTTGTCCATCTCTTTTTCTGTCTATTTGCCGCTCGTTCGCTCTTTCTTCGTCGGATGCGATAGCTGAGCCAGAGAGGACCGTTTCCATTCGCAATTCGTTCTATTGCATTTTCGGTGATTGTTTTTCATTCTCAGGCGATTTAATCGCTGTTTATCGAAATGGTCAACCGAAAAAAATTTAATAAATAATTACAGTGATTGCAATAAATATTTTCGAAATAATCTGGTTTGAACTTTCGAAATAATCTGTCTTCTGCGTTCATCTCTTCGTGGCATACAGAAATTGCGAGGTGAATATGGGAAAAAATGGGCAAAAGAGAGACAAAACAATGAATAAAAGAAATCGCAAAGCTATGTTGCGACAGGCATCTAGACAACATTGACTTTGAACATCACTCGATTTCAACTTTTCTCACGCACACACACACACATACATTTCAGCCCATTGATGATTGCACGGTGAGATCGCATCTCTTAACGCAAGAGAATCGTGAATAATTGAGCGGATGTTTGCGCGAAACCATACCATGATTATTCGCTCTATTCACTTTAACCGATCCTGTGTATAGCATCAGAATACTTGAAGTACTTGAAGCAACCATTTGTGGTTAGGCATTCATATCAGGGGAGCGAACGAGAAACACAGAGAGAGAGAGACGGAGCCATACACACACACACACAGAGCGAGATAAGTAATTAATTTGCGCTTTCATTTTTGGCAATTGAACATGAATTGAAACCACTGTCTAATTCATTAGTTGGCATTTATATCGGCAGCAATAGCTTTAACCAAATGGAGTTAAACGCTTCGGTGGCACTCGTATTATCCCGTTAAATCGTTGCTAGAAGAAGAGAAAAAAAAAGTATCTTATTTTCGTTGCGATGCAAAACTGTCAGTTGATTGTCTTTATAATCGGTTTTCCAAACCGCCGCTAGAGATGCTGATAAATTATGTCTCTGTATTTGTGATCTTGATAACGGTAAATAAAGAAGAAAAAAACACGACCACTTGCATATAAGTGGATGCTCTAAGTTGAGCGGAAAGAGGGAGAACAAAGCGAAATAAAATCAACATAATTTTTCTCTCTCCATCTCTATCTTTCTCTATTCTTCACTGTATAACTCTTCTTTTATTTTTGTCCGTCGCTCCCGCAAACTTGTTGTACAGGTTTTGTTGCACATTAAAAAGAAAAAAAAACACCGAACGCAATGCCACGATAACGATGATGATAATGAATATAATGGCTGATCATGTTAATGACAATGCAGTTCTAATTACATTTTCTGTGCGCATTTTAGCCATGCTCCGGCCGCGCCGCGATTACCGCTCGCCTATGTTGAAGACACATTTTGTGAAGCTTTCAACTGTCGCCTTCCGTACGCGCGGCGCTCAAAATGTGTAGCAATGAAGAAACAATTGAACATGCGGTTGATCATTATCAACATTGATGATCGATTTTTGGCTTTAAAAAAATATTGTGCGTGTAGGGAGGGAATGAAGAAATAAAGAAAAATACGAGCGAAAAGTTTCCGCAGCTTTATTTTATTATCTTGAAATTATGGCGATGTAACACCTCGCCCATTTGCACACTCCCACCTTTTTTTTTTATTCTTTGGTGTTGCTGTATGTTTTCTACGTTGTAACAACATCGAAAGTCAAAAGAATCATAGTTAAAAGCAAACGTTCTTTTAACTCACGAAGCAACATGAATCTCATCATTGTGGAATGCGCCTGATGGATTTTTTTCATACCTTGCACTTACATTGGCATTGACGTTGTCATAATCATCATTATTATTATTACGGCCGCTGCAGTACAGGCAAATTCATTGTGTTTTTCATTGATGCGGGCAGCGCACCACACAATACACAAATTTGCCGACGTCGTTGTCGTTGTCGTCCACGTAGTCGTAGTCGTTGTTGTCATCGTCGCGCATTCTTTTTCTGCTACCATGCCGTCGTCATTGATGCTGTTGCCTGATGCTGCTGCTGTTGTTGTTGCCATTGCTGCGCTCAAAAACTTTGTTCTTTCATTTTTCTTTCATCTTCTGATGCCATCAGACGTTGCAGCAAATTTGTTTCAAGCTTGTAGTATTTTCTTTTATTTTCCGTAATCATGTTGCGCTCAAAAAGGGAAACATAAAATTGGAATTGCGTCTAGCTGATGCTATATCTCTCTCTCTCTCTCTCCTATTCTCTTGTTTCTTCCTTTTTTTCGTTTGCTCTTGCCGTATTTAGTGTGTGTACTCTTATTTGTATTTATTTTCAGGGCTATTGCTGCCAAACGTTGAGCAATTCATTCCTTAGCGCTTTTGATGTGCTCAGTTCAGAGAGAAAAAAATATGAGAAAAAAGGCGAAAATACAAAGGCAAAAGCCAGGTAGAATATAAAATGTCATTTTTTCAGCAACATTTTTGTGTTGTGTTGCCGACACTGATGCTGCTGCTATTGCTGCTGCTGATGGTACTTCCTCTCAAACCATTGCTATTTCGGCACATTTATTTTTCCTCAGGCCAAAGGCACACAACCATGTTTATGTAAACTGTATTCAAAACGGTCGGGATTTTATGAGCAAAATTTCGAATACCCAGAAATTAAAGCGCAGAACTGCCATAACAACAACATCAACAACAGCAACAATCAACAAACTCACAAAGAGCCAAATAAGAGAAGTCTAAGAAAGAAGCGATGCACATGTATGCCAATGTGGAATGCAATGCACCGAGTAATATCCTCTGTGCACAAATAACTAATATGCATGTCCAATATCGTGGATATGATACTAGATGTTGCCATTTTGTTCGCCAGTTAATACGGTACACCAAGTACAAATATGTGTGAAAGAAGCCTCGAACGGCGGAAACAGAAAAAAACAGGAGAGCGCCTCTCAAGTGCTTGCGCAGCAGTTACGTATGTGTACTATATCGTGTGTTACGAAAAGATACAAAAACGGATGCAAAAATTGCTGTTAAAATGGGAAATCTGACATTCGAAATGAATTGAGAGAGAAAGAGAGCTTGGTTGAAGGTAGCAAGCAAAGCAGAAACGTTGCTATTTATTCTCTGGCCGCTCTTCTGCCAACCAACCAACTTATTCTTATATGTGTCTACGACACGTCTGTATGTGTTGAATATCTTGCTGGATATAGTCTTTGTTACTGCTGCTGCATTCTCTTGATGATGGAATCTCCAATACTGCTCCAGCCTTCTCTATCCTCCCATCCCGACTGTTCCTTTTCTATGTCAAATAAGGTGAAGTACGATGTCAATTCAAATTAATGACATGCATATTGTGCACCGATCGTGTGCATTCATGCCCAGGAGAAAATACCAATGCCAATTTTAGCAATGCAACAACATGAAAAACATGAGCTTTCTAAGCACATGAGGTGCGGATATTCTGTGAATCCAGGAAATGTAAATCAATTGCTCGCATAAAATAACATGGAATTGACACTGTCGCTCCCAATTTATCCGTCTAAAACCCACAATTTTCTCCATTCGAAAATGAAATTGAATAAAAATCATACACTTTAATTGGCAATGCAATGACATTTTTTTTGGTCAAAATAACAACTAACGAAAAAAAAAACCTTTTCAAAAATAAAACCATGCTTGAATTCTATTCAGATGTTTCTCGATACAGAAAATGCTTTGGAGTTTCAATCTCGTTTATTCTGCATTTTCAGCGACAATTCATAACGGCATTGTGCCGACACATACAGAATGAAAACAAAAAAAATAGTGTAAGCGCTTAGCCGCTCCAGTTTGATGTCGTCGCACACAGAGTGAGAGTAAGAAATGCATTGATAAAAAGGAAAAATCCAACGAGTATTCACATGGAATGTGGCGCGTTTGTTCCATCGCATGCCTCGCTCTAACCATCCGTTTGCGTTATCTTTGTGAGTGCAGAATAAAGGCAAAAACAAAGGATCTTTTTTTTCCTTGCAATTCGCCAACTTTCTCTCTCACTCTCTCTCTCTCTCTCTCTCTCTCTCTCTCTCCCTCATCCGCCTCACATGGGCCATTCAGTCCCGTCAAAGCATATGCAAACTACACATGATTCGATGTAGATGAAGAAGTCGAGAGCAAAAAAAAACGCCGTCGCAGTTATATATTCTTTTGTTACGCTGTATAATTCGTATGGAATGCATTGCATTGCGTTGCATTGTTACAGGCTCGCACATCACCTCGTACATACATTTGCGAATATTAAATAATTGTTGAAATTCTTTCAATAGATTTTTGTTTATGTTTCGTTTTCATTTTTAGCCCAAACAAAAACGAGCGAACAATGAAATATGCAACGGCAATATAACAATTATAAAGTACAATGCAAACGACTCGCTTGCATTGGCCGTTGAAAATGCTCAGATGGAAAGTATTCTGTTTGAAGCTCCACGATGCAATTTGATTCTGATGTGTGTGTACTGTGTTATGTAGGCGCGCGCCCGCTTATTTTCGTCTTTTTCTCGTGTTGCTTTGCTTTGTTATGATTTGTATTGTTTTGTTTTGATTTTCGTTTGAGTCGAATTGATACGAAACATAGAGTATGACTATTCAAAACACTTGACATGATAAGATTTTCCATTGGAAATAGTATTTGTGTGTGTCTCTCCGTCGCTCAGTCTAACTTTACTTTCACGGAATAAAAAGTACTTTTGGAGTCTCTGTTTTTTTTTTGTCAATGTCCATAATTAAAAGTTTTCTCCACTCGTTTATTTTTCTCACGTCTATTTATTCATTTACTATTTTACGGGGAAATTCCTATCAATTAATTGAAGTTGCGTATCTTGTGTTGTTCTAATTTTCATTATTTTTCCCTTTTTCTCGTTGCAGTTTCTTCATCACGAACTTTGTTAGTGTCATCCGAACCATCCTCAATTCGTACATAATCATACACAAAAATAGTACAACACCAGCAGCATCGACTGAACACTGAAAACTGACAAGTAAAAAGCAGCAACTTCACAAACTACCATAAATACGGGAGCAGAGTTTGTGTTCAAGAAAAGAAAGGAACTGAAAAACAAAACAACCGAAGACAAAATTAAAATTAAAATAAAAATAAAAATAAAAATAAAAGGAAAACACGATAGAAACGGAGAAGAAAAACAACGTTGAGCTTAATTCTACACATTTACTCGCGCGAATTTATTTCAAAGTTTTATCATCGTAACGAAAAACGGGAGTCAAGCGACGAAAGTACATGAGCAAAGAAGGACAAAGGAGTCAAGCAGCAAAAACAAAGTAAAAGCAAAAGACGAAAAAAAAACCCACGTCGAAGTATTCATGTTTGAAAAGTTTTGAACAATACAAACCGCGCAAGAGTCTAATTGATAATTAATCATATCGTCGTATCGCCTGGCATTTTAGGAGGCATAACAATTGAAATCTGTCGAGAGAGAAAAAGAGAAATTAAACGTAAAAGTGAAGAAGATTCGCATTCACACATACCCGAAATCATAATATTCACACAAAGGATTCGCATAATCGAAACCTGAGCGAAAAAGACAACAACAGCCCAAATAGAAAGAAAACACCGTAAATAAATACAAAAGCAGTGCACGACAGGCAGTAGCGTTAATATAAACAGCAGCAGCAACTCATAACACTGTGCCACAGGCGTTTAGTTATAGATTTTGCCATAACTTGTGTAGTGGCAATTTTTATCGAAAACACGAAAGGAAAGAGTGGGAATAACGCAGAACGTTTATCGAACCGCGAACGTGCGCACGTCTCCCGTACATCCAAACACACATACATATATACACTTACACACATCGTAGCCGAAGCTGATAAGCAGACCGAAGAAGAATAAGTTTCTTCGCAATAAATTCTCAAGCAATAAATATCAATAGAAGTCGCATAACAATGGAAGAAAATAATACACCAAGTAACTTGGAAATAAAGGGTGATCCATCGGTTACTCTAACCATAAGGCTGATTATGCAGGGAAAGGTGAGTTTTTCGATTTTATTGTTTTCTTCTTGCTCTTTTCCCATTTTATATGCTTTGATAAACGCTTAAAAGTCTCTCTGTTATTATTGTTGATTTCACACACCCCATCGAAGTGAGGCGTGATGGTTTTTTTTTCTCTCTCGCTTCAATCGATTAAAACGGAACTTTTTTGCACATTCAATTCGTTGCGGTTCGCCATCAATATTTTGCGAAACTTTTTCCATCTCGGGAAGATTTCGTCATTGGTAGTTGTTTTCATGGTGCGTGCTCATTTTATTCCAAACTAACAAACACCTCTCAATTGAAACAAATCATTGGAAAGCGATCAGCAAGTAATGCGGCCTGAAAAGATGCAATAAATCAACCGGTAATCTTTGACATTGAAATGGTGCCACGGTTTGGCGATCTGTCATATATAGGGGGAGCGTGGCATGAATCTCATGGACTCCCTGCTGAAATTTAATGACTTGATGAATTGGATGGCAATACACGAAATACGGAATGGTTCTTTTGTCGAAAAGTTTTTGATTCGAAGCGAACATTGAATATATAGTCGGAGTTTAGTTCGGCTTCATCTCTCTTTTTCACGTTCGGTGGTTCTTCCAACATTTATCTATATTTAACAAGATAAGACATACGATTCAGACACTCGCACACACACACACACACATGCTTAGTCTTTGTGCTCGCTGATGTTATACAGCAATTGTTTGAGGAATTTGCTCGAGTGCCAAAACTTTGATTAAATCCAATTAAATTTTAAGCACATTGCCAACGCGTGCACATTCGAAATGAACTGCGCACATTCTATACTCAATTGTTAATGTTTGAACCAGAAATTCGACATAATATTCTAGTATATTTCGAATTTGGTATAATGAACTTGCGTTACTTTTCGTGTCTCGCAATCGCGCACCCGCGCACGCAGCCCGATATTCAATTTGTAAATTTCGAATGCAGATAATTTTTGGTGGAAATTTCCTCCTGTCTTCCACGTTCTTTCCTCTCATTCACTCCATCGTGCGCTCGCTCGCTCTCTCTCTCTCTCTCACTTTCGTCGTAACTCAACTAATACGGCTGACGAAGAATGAACTCTCTGCATTTCGGAATCATAGCGAAAGGTTAGCCATTAACCAGCAAATTTGTTACAATATACCGTGCATAGATTGAAGCGGGCGGGCGACCGTACGAACAACCGGTCGTTGTAATTTCATACTTTGAAATGTAATCCGGTGTATCATTTTTCGATGCTTGTAATAGATGTATTTGTTTGCCTGTGTGCACCTGCATAGTATTCATTAAGCGCTACGATTATTTTTGTTCAGTGAAAATTATGAATTACAATTTGAATGCTTGTAAAACACAGTGGATATCGTGTTACGTGTTATTTTTTTTGTTTCTTTTGATTATTTCGTGTATGTAATGCAGTAACGCACTGTGTACAGCGCAGCACTTAGGTGTTTTATTTTTAATTTGCCCGGTTTTTTCTCTTGTTTCTTTTTTCTTGATCGTCTGTTATTATCAACGACGACGGCGTCGACAACGATGACGCTTGTAATATTTGGTTTCTTTACACAAGAACTACAAGCATCGAAGAGCATATTTTTTTACGATTTGGTTTGAAGAGCACACAAATCCAACATTTCCCATTGTTCGTTCAATCTCTATGGTGTGTGTGTGTGTGCTTGTTTTTTTTGTTTCTAATTTTGGTTCGAATCGAATCGGCTGAGAATGAAGCAGCCGCTGTAATGCAACGTAATGACAACCACACCGATAGAATGGATCCCATAAAACAAAACGAAATAATAATTTCAATTAAAGTTGCACCACCAAAACTCAAGTTACATGTAAAACTTTGTGTACAGTGTGATTTTGGTATGCACATCGAATCGAATGAAAAATGGAACCGAATGAAAACGGAGAGTGAACGAGAGGAAACAGGGGAGCAAAAGGGAGACAGAAAAAAAATAATAGACAGAGTGAAGGTGCATGAAATCTATACACAAATATTGATATATTTTAATTGGAAGCAAAATACAAGAGCGAGAGAGAGAGAGAGAGAGCCAGCCAAAACGTCGGTGGCCAGCCGAACGGTAAGGAATGACAGCAGCGAAAGAAAACGACATATAAAGTCAGAGAAAAAAAAACACGAAATAGAAAAGGAACAAAACCAATTTAATTAAAAAACTTTTTCCCTCAATCGGTGTGTCTATCTGGAAGGCAGACGGAGGCGGTCTATTGCCAAATACTTTTCACTATTATCTCGTTGTGAATTTCCGTTGTTGCGAATTTTGAATTTTTATTCGTGTTTGTACAATCGCAGTTGAAAATACTGCACACAGACCAGAGAAAATGAGATAAAGAGCAAGAGATTGAGACGCTAGAAGCGCTAATGCCAGCACCAGCTAACCATTCTGAAAATTGAAAATCAGCAATCTGTTTGCATAGGTACAATGAGCGCAAGTTACATGGTCGAAACAGGTATTATTAAGCGCTGGTCGCAAACTATTTATCGAATTTGGTATAAAATACTCTCAGTGCAGTTGAGCGTTCAGGCCTGCGAGACACATTGTGGCGCACGATTAAACTAGAGAGAGGGAGCGGGGGAGAGTGAAAAAGTGCGGACAGGCGATGTAAAGAGACGGGTTAAACGTTACAGTAGCAGCAGCAGCAGCAACAGCAATAACAAAAGGGAAAAAAGAATTTATCTATTATTTTTTGCGTTCAATCGCTTTCATTTTTTTCCACTTGGTTTTGAAAATTTTCTGTGGTCTATTGAATTTATCGCATTCAATTCAGTATTGGCATTCGAAACATGTTATCGATATCTACTTTCGATATATGGAAACAAAAAAAAAACAATGTTGAAAACGTCAACTCGGTGCGCACACAAAACGGAAAGGGACACACACAGAGAGAGAAAAAAAATATTGATTGAGCGAATAAGCGCACATAGTCAATCGGCTTGAATGGATTGCAAACGAAGAGAAAATGTGATTTTTCTTTTCGGTTTTGTTACGACCGAAATAAAGGAAACTTAATAACATATCATATCCGATGTATTGATGTCGTCATGCAAATAATACAAAATGCGTAATTCGATTATCTTTCTATGCGATTTACCATCCAATTTAATAATAGTCATTGTACAACCGTTCTCTGACTCCCAGCCATTGCTATTGGATGTGTGTGTGTTTCTTTTTTTCACAACCAATTTCGAATTGTTGTTTTCTCGTGTTTTTTTTTGTCCTTTTTTCTCCCTTAGTCTCGATGGAAATGCGAAAGCCAAGCATTCAAGATATGGAACGCGACAAATGGCGAAATTTACGTAAATCGTTGTATGCTGACTGTAAGGTATACACATAGCAACCATCTAATTGATCATGTGCTATATGCGTATCCAGCGGCATAAAACATATCGATATCGAGCCAGTCACATACAGATACATAGAAACACATTCTGACAGACACAATATGTCACAATGGTCTTCAATGCTCTTCAGTATGCACAATAATGTACGGGCTTTTGCCTTCTGTCGACTTCTTATAACCATTTATTAGTGATAAGAGTCTTTTGTGCGCTCCACGATATATTCTCAACAACGAGAAATGGCTCTGCCAATTTTAATAGTGTTATTGTGTAAGCGGCATACACATTCATTCTTATTCTGAATACTATTCCGATGTCGAAATATGAATTGAATGCCTATTATTCTCTCCTGGTTCTGCGTTTCACAAGAAGTTGAAACCTTCGGTATAAACATGTGATATGCGTGTATGTGTTCACATTTTCATATTAAACAATTCAATTGTAACATCGAATGGCCTCTTTTTTATATTCAATATCATCGACACTCCTCTCCTCTCCTCTCTAACGGTGCAGATTCAAGCGGGAAAGGTGATGCCAAACAAATTCGCACAATAAATGAAAACTATATACATAATATTTTATGGAAATGTGTCCTATGTGCAACGTCATCATCATCATCATTTTCATTGTCATCATCAGCACATAAATCTATTGGAATTAATGAATTTGTGTATGATTATGCTTACATGCAGATACACTTTACAATTGTGTTTGTGTGATTGAAATTGTTCAGTACTTTCGCATTTTTCCATATTTGTTGATTATTAATGCACATGCACACACACAGACGGGCGCGCGCGTTTGCTTCCAATCAAAAATCGAGCTGCTGAAAACAAAACCAAGTCACAATTCACATAGAATTTCACTAGAGAGAGAGAGAGAGAGAGAGAGACAGAGAGTGAGAGAAAAGATAGTGAAAAAACACTATATTGCAGAGAAAACGATTACGCGACCTAACACACAACCATCAATAGGAAACGCAGCAATACAAAATACAAGAGATAAATAGCACAATGGCAACAAATGAAAAAAAAGCGGGCATAAAAAAAAAATTCCAGAGCGAGCGAGACAAAGTGGTTCTCGTTCGGACGTGAATTCGGAACGTAGATCGACATTTTCATCGATTTCTCGACTGAATAAAATACAATTATACGCACTCAATCACATACAGAATTCATATTCATATCATCGATGGGTATACATTCGAATGGACGGACAAATGAAAATCAGCGCACAGCATCAACTCATATGCCGATATCAGGCATGCCACCGAAAATAATGACCGATAAAAAAAATATGGTGGAAAGTGATCGTTTCACTCAAAATAATCTACTGTACAGACAGACACACAAAAAATATATATGCAATGCTTAACCGGAGAGAGAAGCGGATAAAAAAAACGTCGGAAAAATCTGTCATGCAATCAACGAATGAATCTCATCATTTACGACTGCCACCCCCCCCCCCCCTCTAACGAACAACAACAAAATCTACGTTGTTTTTTTTATCGTTCACATTTCCTTTACACAAAAATTTGCTCTGCGCGCTGCAGAGAGCATACACACAAAGAAAGACGCACCATTCAAAAATCCATTCGCATACGAATCTTCACAAAGTGGTATTTGTGGAA